CGCGACGAAAACAATGTTGAGCAATGGCAATGTCGAATGGTGACACTCGGTAAGTAATCCTACAATTTTTTGTTTATAGCGTAGTTTATACGGATTATTCCCAAAAAATATATACGTATTTTGGAAATGTTGAGTCGGATTAGTCTAGAATCGATTAATTTTATGGAAGAAAATCTTTCAAACAGCCGTAGTCCGTAAACTTGACACGTGTCGGGTTGTGATTGGAAGGATTCGTAAGAAATCGGATTCCTAGAGAATGGAACGTATCTCTATCTTATAGGGGGGTCGACTGTATTTAAAATATTAAAAATTAATAATAATTGTTTGGTATTAATTTGAAATTATTATGTTGCATGTTTTTAAAACTGCTGCATTTTCATGTATAGTTAAATGAAAATATTCATAATTCAGAAGATATAATTGGTATTGTAATCATTTTATATATTTCAACGAGCTTTAATTTGAAAACAAACAGGGATGTACTATACATTCATGCCTGTGTGTAATCTGCATTAAGAATGGTTATGTCAACAAAACATGCTACTTTATAGTCTTTATCAATTACAATAATTCTAATGAGCACTTATCAAAAAATTTCTTTTTCCCAACAAATTTTGTATTTTATTCTGTAATATTAATATACACCAAATTATAATTACTTTGAGTATGTAATGATTACTTAAGTATATTTAGTATTAGATTAATATTGACTTTATTTTAGAGCAGAGAACAGAGAGAACATTTTTAGTACAGATATTATTGTATATAGATTACAAAATATTTCCAAAAATAGTCTTTAAAATAATATTTGATCCTTAGAGATAATAGCATAAGAATATACATTAGAGCATCGATTATCCGACCCCCGATTAACCGTCACATCGGTTAACCAACTGTTCTAGTCGGCAAATTTCAAAATGTCCGCTAGTGATGTGGCATTACAATATTTAGCTATGTCTTGGCTACTTTAATATTATTTTTGTTACATTTTTGCGTGTTTTAGCTGGCATCAACGGCTCGACCATTGAAGGGAGGCCAATATTTAAATGAAACTTAATTTTCTAATTATGAGTGGTTGTTTGTTTCATGAGCAATAAAATAATTTTAAAATAATTTTTAATGATACAATAGTGACAATTATTATTTTAGAAAAAAATTTGTTAGGCTAAACATCAATGAAAATTCAACACAAAGTTGGCCAATAGCGATATATTGATAAAGTAGAGTGTCGATTATCCGAAAGTCAATCATCCGAAAGAATTCCAGTCGTCAAATTTAAATTTTCACCAGTACTGTGGTGCTGCAATCTTTGGCTATGTCTTGGGCTACTCAAATATTTTACGTTTTTGATACTAAATTAACTTCTGAAGTATAATTTTTTATTGTTTTTACATTTTTCAATATATTTATTTTGTTCGTACAAAATAAAAAAATAATTTTTAACGATACAATAGTCTTCGTTAGGCTTAACATCGACGAAAAATTCAACGCGAAGTGACATGCAACGGAGAAAAATGTCAAGATGGGATAAATTAATATATTTTTTCGTACATAATTGGTTATCCGAAACGTCAATCTTCTGAACAACCCCAGTCCCCAATTGATTCGGATAATTGACGCTCTACTGTACTAATAAACTAATTACATGGGATATACTAATATCCTAATATACTATACTAATAATGTATTTTTTCCTTCTTTTCGGTTATCCGATTTTTTCAGTTATCCAAACAACCTGAGTCCCCAATTGAGTCAAATAATCGATGCTCTACTGTTCTACCATAAATATATTTGTTAAATATTTCATTTTCAAAATAATTTACTTTTCTTTTTTCATATGATGAGTAATTATTTTCAAAGTTTTGAACAACTATACATCATTGATATTTTTAAAAATTACTAACATAAATTATTAATAAATGATATAAAGGATAATATAAATTATCTTTATATTAAATTAAATGCATTACCTAAGTCCAATCCTTCTTTACTTGGTCTTTGAGAAAAAGGAGTATTTCGATATATAGCATCTAAAGCTTTCTCTTTAACTTGAGATAGAGTATCACAATCTAAAACTTTCACAGGAGTTTCAATATTTTCTCCTGGAAGTTCTAAACCAGACATGTATGCTGTCTGTGGTGACATTGATACAAATACAATCTGAAAAAATAAAAAAACACACATATAAATAAAATTTAAAAAAAATAAATCTTTTTTGCAACAAACAAGTATAATCCACAATTAACTAAAACAGAATAAGAATATTATAACAACACATTATGCATGTACAGTACATGAAAATATTTAGTTGATATACAGCATTTACCATGCTTTTATATTCAATTGATTGTCTAATTAATTTTTCTTCTGATAATGAATAACGTGCTTCACTGGTAATAGAATCAACTGGTCCTTTATCTACTTGTTGTTTGATTGCTCTATATAACATAAACAATGGATCACCTGCACATTCCTATCATAAATACAGAAAAAAATTATAAATATGTAAATATCTTTGTAAAAAGATATGATAATAAAAGAAAAATTTAACTTTGATAAAAATTTAATTTTATTCTTAATTTTTAAAATTAATATTTTAAGAATTAATATGATAAAATTTTAAAAATACTTATTCTATCATTGTAATCTGGATACTTATTAATAAATAAACAATATTTATACATTATAAAAAATAAATACTAAACAGATTTAGCAAGCATTATTTTCAAGTAAATGAAATCTGCTGTATTGTAGCTCCTAGTTTATATAACTTCCATTGGTTTTGTGCATGTTCCAATTTATTATTTAGCCTTCAAAACTGTAATCAGTCCAATGTCTTAAAATGGAATAATGTCTTAAATTGAACTGATTACTGTTTTGAATGAATGTAGACAAGGCAATCATATAATTTTTATTTTGTTAACCACCTGAAAGAGGGGTTTTTAGACAAGTACACTAAATTGTTATGTTCTTCAAAACTGACTATCACCAAAGTTCAAAAATCACTCAGGAACAATTAGTTTTCAGATGTTTTTTATTTAAATGCATTTCAGATCAAACTTTTTTTGTCTGTCCCTTTTCAGTAATAAGTACAATTTGTGACAGAGCCCACATCAATAATTTATGTTTACTGAAAACAACTACAAAAGTATTATACTACCAAGTGCAATCCTATAGCTGTTTTCCCATTGCACGGAAACTCATTCTGCTGTTTTTCCTGAAGTGTGATTTGTGATTCAATTTCACACTGAATGTCAAGCATTTAGTGGACTAGGGCTTTTATCGCCACTTTAATAAAAATATTGACAAGTGGCAATTCTGGCACTATGCAGTGCAACCCCTTCCTCAACAAATAGCAGTAAAATTCATCCTTAAGGTTTCCTCAGTGAGGTTAAAATCTGGTCTATGGTTTAAATTTAATTCCACTAAACTTATATTCTCAATTTTTTCATTTATTCTTTAATTAATTCATTATTAATAAAAAACAACAAATATTCAAACTAAATCTTTCTACTATAATAAAAATACAAAATTATATTAAACTATTGTAAAAAATGGAATGAAGATGGAAAGAAAAATTTTCAGATTATTGAACAACTTATAGGAATTGCAACAATAGCCCATAGTAACACTGATTTACAATTTATACAACCTCAAATCTGTTGAAAATAATTATCTTATCATTATATTATACTTTTGTCCACTTTGGACGTTCTTATGTACTAGAACTTATACTGAGGAAAGAGAAACCACACAATTTCCAATTAAAATATATTTATTGTAACATAATCTTATGTTACAATAAATATATTTTAATTGAAAATTGTGTTCCTCTTCCCTCAGTTTAACAAGTCCTAGTACATAAGAATGTCCAAAGTGGACAAAAGTATAACATAAGTAATTTACGACAAGAAGCTGATATCAAAATTATCTTATTCCAACTTAAATAATTTACTTTTTATAAGCAGATCATCATCAGTATTTATCAACTGAATATTTGCTATAGTACTAAGTGCAACATATATTTTCATAAATTATTATTATATTTTCTAGAATCTAAAACTGTTATAGCATTATCATTAAGAATAGCAGTAATTTTTCAAGAACAGTATTAACTGTGATAAAATGCAATAGTAACAATTTTGTGCTTACTAGTTTTTTCATGGGTATTTCTCACCAAATTAGCTTATTCTGTGCTCCAATAATACTCATTCTACATGCTATCCATCATTGTAAAAATTTCAGTTGAAAGAAACTTTTTCCACTTTTCACAGGCTCTCAAAAAACCACTGTGGAAATTTACTGTCTTGTGCATGTAATTATGTACAATTTTCCACTCTGATATTATTTTTTGTAATCTGACAGGATCAAAAATGGCATCATGAATGTTTCTCAGCTATACTTGACATAATGATATGGCAGTCTGCAAGTTGCTATGAAGTTGAACGTTTGTCTCCATAAGATAGCCTTGGGCACAATGATCGTCAAGAATTTAAATGTTTATGCAACTTTGTTTCAAGGGCTCCCATAGGAAACCTTTGAAAGGACACTGTTCAGTAAACAAAACAACATATGATATTGAAATTTGACATGTGTAAAAGACATTTTCAAAATAGTCAAATTGAGGAACAGCAATTACATGCAGAATAACTATGCATGAAAAAAACAGAAAATTGCCACTTTATGCATGTACATGCATTAAAAAAGTGCATATAATTGCAAGTTAATATTTCATACTTATCATAAATTAAAGTTTTGACAACAAATCTTATTATGTTATTTATTTAAAAAGTAAAAGATCTATAATATGAAATCAAGTCTCTCATTTTCTGGACGAACCTACAGAATATAAATCNGAAAGTAGTTCGGCTGCTCATCCACTATTGGTCCAGACTCTATCAATCTTGTCGCGAAACGACGTTATAGGAGGTACTTTATACGAAAGTTTCTACAATTTTTTCGCTATGTTATAGGAATTGTCGTTATAGGAACGTACGTTATAGGGGGGTCGACTGTACATAAATTAAATTTGATCATATTTAAAGTGTTATTCAGTGCTTATTAGCAATAAACAATTAAAATCACTGTCTGATAATTAAGGCACAGATCAAAAGTACAACAAATTTACTTTATTGAACTTTTCAAGTTTTTTTTCTAACATGTTGTAATTTTTATTTTAATTATTGAACAGCCCTCATATGTTGTCTTCATTACTGTTTTATCATACTTAGTTAACTAATCTGAAAGAAATATTACTATGCAAATAATACAAAATAATTTTAAGTGATTGAAAATTTAATGAAATTAATCAATAAAATTATGAATTATATGTTTGTTTAAAGATTGAAGAAAACATTTTATTGTACTTATTCTGATCTTCTAAAAACCAATTAATACTTTATCTTATACTTAAATGAAAATTGAAAAAAAAAATTATTATTCAAATGTCTACATTACTATTATATAAAATCTTAAAAATGAATAAAATATTTTTCTAATATGTAAACCATTGAAAATTATATATTTTTTGGATCAATCAAATATATTGAACCATATAAAGCTGTATTAAACTGCCTAAAGAAATAAGGACTTTTGGTAAATTTTCATTGTTAAAAAACAATTTAGAAACAATCTTTATATACGTTTTTCCATTAAATTTTAAAGAATTAGACTTAAAATGGCCACAAATTGTTTGACAAATTTATTTTTTGGAAGAAGCTACAGTATATTAAATTCTACAAATAAGATTTAAGTCTAATAAATATTATATTAAATAATAATTTTCAACATATTTTTATTTTAATTAAAAATAATGCTTTATTTTGATTTCTTACAATAATGCTATTTAACAAGACAATTCACAATTTTAAGTTAAGAAACATTATAGAAAAATTATGCATACCATATTTGTGAGATTTCTCAATTTTTTCATTTATTATTGGAATATTATACATTGTCTGTTGTCTTGGAACTAAAGTCAATAAAGCTCCATCAGGAACCTAAACATAAATTTAAAATATCTTTCAAAAATTTCATTTAATTTTTTTAATAGAAATGATAGGTTTTATTGTAGCTTAAGCCACTAAGTTGTATAATAACAACACAATTATTCCTAAAAAAAGCTATTACAGGCAACCCCCCTATAACACTGTTGATAATTCTGTTTTATATAAATTCCATGTTGTACAAGTCACTTAAATTTTACAAATATGTGAGCCATTCACAGCCCGGCACATGTATTTGTAAAATCTAAGTGACCTGTACAACATGGAAGTCATATAAAACAGAATTATCAACAGTGTTATAGGGGGTCGACTGTATCTAATTTAAACATTTTGAAATATTTGAACATAATTATACATTCAGAGTATTATTATTCATTTTCACTATACTTTTCATTTTTTAATCTTTAATATTATTACTGGTAACCCCCATATAACACGGCACTTCTATAGCACGGATTCACTCTAACATAGTTTGAGAATTGGGAACATCCCCCGTATAACACAGTGGTTTTATAGCTTTATAGCATGGATTCACTCTAACACGGTTCGAGAATTGGGTAAAACCCTCGTACAACATGAAATGTAATAAAGGGTGTGTTCTTTTATACTTCCATGTAACTCCATGCAAGCATTCTAATTGTTTTCGTGGCTACTTTGAATGCTCTTTCAACAATAATCCATTTAATGGTTAAATTTTACAACTGGAACCCTTCTTTTGCCTCTAAAACCTCATTTTAGAATGATAGATTCCTCCATCATGATACTATCTATAGTGCAGGCGCCGCCATCTTTCTTTCACCGTTGTTCCTAAATGCCTACAAACAGCAGCGCACTCCCATTGTAGAGCAACCACTATTAACAAACGCACCCAAAAACTGTTACCAGTTGATGATGCTCATGCTGAGATCATCATACAGGATGGATAATCCTCTGGTAAAATATTTACTTAAATAATAAATAAGTATTTTACCTATGAAAAAAAATGAATAATAAATCCGATTTAAATAAGGATTTAACGGCATGTTTTTTTTTTTTGGAACCTAATCCCTCTCTTCACACTAGTTCTTTGTTTTGTATAACACAGATTCACATAACACGGCAATTTTTTGGAACGTAACTCCCGTGTTATACGGGGGTTACTTGTATTTCAATCTCATTATTTTATTCTTTTTAGTTATGATTTTAAAAACTAAAATATTTATCTTTCAGTTTTATAAAAATCTTTCACAAAATCTTTCAAAAACAAAAAAAAAAATTTCTAACATTCAATTAAATAAAAAATTAAATTATTATAAAATAAAATGATTTTTCTAATAAAATATACTATTAAACAAATATAGTAGAGCGTCGATTATCCGAATCAATTGGGGACTGGGGTTGTTCGGAAGATCGATGTTTTGGATAACCGATTATGTACGAAAAAATATATTAATTTATCCCATCTTGACATTTTTCTCCGTTGCGTGTAGCTTCGCACTGAATTTTCGTCGATGTTAAGCCTAACGAAGACTATTGTATAGTTAAAAATTATTTTTTTATTTTGTACGAACAAAATAAATATATTGAAAAATATAAAAACAATAAAAAATTATACTTCAGATGTTAATTTAGTATCAAAAATGTAAAATATTTGAGTAGCCCAAGACATAGCCAAAGATTGCAGTGCCACAGCACTGGCGAAAATTTAAATTTGCCGACTGGAATTCTTCCAAATGATTGACTTTCGGATAATTGACACTCTACTGTAAATGAATGTAAAAATAGCAATTTTATTACTGTTTTAACAAAGTTTTAAAATTCTTGTTTCACCCAGTGAAACAAGAATTCTAAAAGCAAAAATCCTCAAAAGTTATAAACTAGTACATTGTAAAACTTTGAGATGTTTTTGCTTTTTAGTCTGTTTTAAAATCATTCAACTTTTATCAAACTTTTATGAATAATAAAATCTTATTACATGCAGCATTATGGTTAAAAAATATTTTCAGGAACAGTCTTAATTTATAATACTAATTTCACATAAATTAAATTTGATCATATTTAAAGTGTTATTCNCTTTTATATTCAATTGATTGTCTAATTAATTTTTCTTCTGATAATGAATAACGTGCTTCACTGGTAATAGAATCAACTGGTCCTTTATCTACTTGTTGTTTGATTGCTCTATATAACATAAACAATGGATCACCTGCACATTCCTATCATAAATACAGAAAAAAATTATAAATATGTAAATATCTTTGTAAAAAGATATGATAATAAAAGAAAAATTTAACTTTGATAAAAATTTAATTTTATTCTTAATTTTTAAAATTAATATTTTAAGAATTAATATGATAAAATTTTAAAAATACTTATTCTATCATTGTAATCTGGATACTTATTAATAAATAAACAATATTTATACATTATAAAAAATAAATACTAAACAGATTTAGCAAGCATTATTTTCAAGTAAATGAAATCTGCTGTATTGTAGCTCCTAGTTTATATAACTTCCATTGGTTTTGTGCATGTTCCAATTTATTATTTAGCCTTCAAAACTGTAATCAGTCCAATGTCTTAAAATGGAATAATGTCTTAAATTGAACTGATTACTGTTTTGAATGAATGTAGACAAGGCAATCATATAATTTTTATTTTGTTAACCACCTGAAAGAGGGGTTTTTAGACAAGTACACTAAATTGTTATGTTCTTCAAAACTGACTATCACCAAAGTTCAAAAATCACTCAGGAACAATTAGTTTTCAGATGTTTTTTATTTAAATGCATTTCAGATCAAACTTTTTTTGTCTGTCCCTTTTCAGTAATAAGTACAATTTGTGACAGAGCCCACATCAATAATTTATGTTTACTGAAAACAACTACAAAAGTATTATACTACCAAGTGCAATCCTATAGCTGTTTTCCCATTGCACGGAAACTCATTCTGCTGTTTTTCCTGAAGTGTGATTTGTGATTCAATTTCACACTGAATGTCAAGCATTTAGTGGACTAGGGCTTTTATCGCCACTTTAATAAAAATATTGACAAGTGGCAATTCTGGCACTATGCAGTGCAACCCCTTCCTCAACAAATAGCAGTAAAATTCATCCTTAAGGTTTCCTCAGTGAGGTTAAAATCTGGTCTATGGTTTAAATTTAATTCCACTAAACTTATATTCTCAATTTTTTCATTTATTCTTTAATTAATTCATTATTAATAAAAAACAACAAATATTCAAACTAAATCTTACTACTATAATAAAAATACAAAATTATATTAAACTATTGTAAAAAATGGAATGAAGATGGAAAGAAAAATTTTCAGATTATTGAACAACTTATAGGAATTGCAACAATAGCCCATAGTAACACTGATTTACAATTTATACAACCTCAAATCTGTTGAAAATAATTATCTTATCATTATATTATACTTTTGTCCACTTTGGACGTTCTTATGTACTAGAACTTATACTGAGGAAAGAGAAACCACACAATTTCCAATTAAAATATATTTATTGTAACATAATCTTATGTTACAATAAATATATTTTAATTGAAAATTGTGTTCCTCTTCCCTCAGTTTAACAAGTCCTAGTACATAAGAATGTCCAAAGTGGACAAAAGTATAACATAAGTAATTTACGACAAGAAGCTGATATCAAAATTATCTTATTCCAACTTAAATAATTTACTTTTTATAAGCAGATCATCATCAGTATTTATCAACTGAATATTTGCTATAGTACTAAGTGCAACATATATTTTCATAAATTATTATTATGTTTTCTAGAATCTAAAACTGTTATAGCATTATCATTAAGAATAGCAGTAATTTTTCAAGAACAGTATTAACTGTGATAAAATGCAATAGTAACAATTTTGTGCTTACTAGTTTTTTCATGGGTATTTCTCACCAAATTAGCTTATTCTGTGCTCCAATAATACTCATTCTACATGCTATCCATCATTGTAAAAATTTCAGTTGAAAGAAACTTTTTCCACTTTTCACAGGCTCTCAAAAAACCACTGTGGAAATTTACTGTCTTGTGCATGTAATTATGTACAATTTTCCACTCTGATATTATTTTTTGTAATCTGACAGGATCAAAAATGGCATCATGAATGTTTCTCAGCTATACTTGACATAATGATATGGCAGTCTGCAAGTTGCTATGAAGTTGAACGTTTGTCTCCATAAGATAGCCTTGGGCACAATGATCGTCAAGAATTTAAATGTTTATGCAACTTTGTTTCAAGGGCTCCCATAGGAAACCTTTGAAAGGACACTGTTCAGTAAACAAAACAACATATGATATTGAAATTTGACATGTGTAAAAGACATTTTCAAAATAGTCAAATTGAGGAACAGCAATTACATGCAGAATAACTATGCATGAAAAAAACAGAAAATTGCCACTTTATGCATGTACATGCATTAAAAAAGTGCATATAATTGCAAGTTAATATTTCATACTTATCATAAATTAAAGTTTTGACAACAAATCTTATTATGTTATTTATTTAAAAAGTAAAAGATCTATAATATGAAATCAAGTCTCTCATTTTCTGGACGAACCTACAGAATATAAATCATGAATGATGATAATACAAATAAAATATAATAAATTTTTTCTTTAAAATATTTTCTTATTTGTTCACTGAAATATTTAAGTTTAAACATATAATACCTTTAAAAACTTGTACAAAAGGAAAGTAAACCATGAAGATAACATTTTTTCAGCAACAGATTCAGTCCTATAAATTAATATGTTTTCTTATTATTATTCTACAAAATAATTTTACATAATATATATTTTAAATATTTTTATTCTTTAACTAGTATATCAAAGTCAAAATTTTGATATTTCATTTATATAGAATTAATAATTTCTTTTTAGATCATAACTATACTATAAACAGTTCTGCTAATTATATAATTTTAAAATAACTTAATGTTATACATACAAAATTTATTTACATTATATACATTATCTTATCTTACTATTATCTTATACTTAATCTTATATATTTACATACATATTAGTTATTTACACATGTATCTTGCAAGGAAAAAATCTTGAAAATTACTTTTTAATCAAACAACAAAACAATAACCTATAAACCTTATTATATTTTAAATTTAAAATATATTAGCTCCATTGTAAAAAGTTTATTATAAAATTATTTTTTAAAAAACTAAATTCCATTTTTTAAAATTTTTCAATAAAAATTATATATATAAATTATAATTTGTAGGTGACTGCTATCTAAAATTTGTTATTAATTCCTGCTGTTTTTTTTTTGCTTAGGGAAGAGGATTAAGCTAGTTATGTCTATTGAATAGTCAGGTATTGCCTACTTATCACATTTGGAAAAATTGTGTTTTATTTTTGATCTTTATGGAAAACTTTTGATATCTTTATTACTATTTAGTTATTTTTAAATTTTTCTTCTTTTATTAAAAATGTTTTCATGTAAGTTTTATTAATTTATTTTGATACTGTTTTTGCTTTCAAAAACATATTCTAAGTATATTATCTAATTTATTTGTATAAGCTGCTAGATCAATTTTGGAAAAATTTTTTAAAGTTGATTCCATCGATTGGCAGACAAAAATAGTTTTAAATGATAATATAGTAATAATTTCTTTTTGTAATTAATGCAGTAAAACCTGTCCAAAATGAAATCCAAATAAAATGGAAACCTGCCTAATTGGAAAAATTTCTTCAGAACAGAGTATTTTCTATGTTAAATTTTACTATAAGCTGGAAACCTGTCCAATGCAAAACTAAAAGAGATTTCGAGTACAATGAACATAATTTAACCTGGATAAAATGAAAAATTAAAATTCAACTCATAGATATATAAGTAAAATAACTTCAAGGTATAATTAATAATAATAATATTATTATTATTAATGGTCATTGCATGGCATGACAAACTATATTTCAAGACTGATTTGAATCTTATCAGAGAAACAAACATCATGTTATAAGGTTACACAGATTCCTAACATGAAAAGAATGTCAGTCACAAATATGCTAATTATGATCACCCAGTACATACAGAACAAAAAAATCTCAAAATTTTATCATTTCCTAAAATTTATGACTAGGTTTGGCGCTTAAATAATTTACTTTTTACAAACTAAATAAATATTCAAATTAAGATTAAATTTTTACCTCCTCAATAACAACTTTGGATGACTCTTTCCTTCAATACATTTTTCTATTAATTCAGCCAGCAATGTCTTCAAAATACTTGAAAGAAATAATTAATAATTATAAACAAATAATTGATAATACTGAAACATAACAACTAAGTAATGCATGATTATGTAATTTATTAATCAAAATCAAGTGTATGTACTAAATCAATAATTAAAAACTATGATGACAGAATTTCATTGTCGATGTTTAATGGCAATAAAATTCTGTTTTACCATTCATCATCATAAAGCTCATCATCAATATCTTAAAATTTTAAATTATTATAATATGAGAAAAATTAATTATAAAATTATTGAGACAATACTTATTTTATTATAAATTTTAAATAATTATCCAAAAACATTTCTACAGCAATTTTTTGCACAATAAAGACCTAAATTTGTAAGGAAATTATCATTGTATTTTTATTCAAAATATAACCGTAATACACTATTTCAATTATATAAAGACAGTCACAAATATCAACATAAATCAAAGTAGTCTGAAATTAATCTCAAGTCATCTATCTAAATGATAAAGTTGTCACTATATATACAGTCGACCCCCTATAACGCGGGTTCATATATCGCGGTGAAAAAATTGTGACCGTATTCATATAAAGACACTAAAAGAGACTCGTAAAATGTGGTAAAACGTCATCGCCGACTCATGTCGCGACAGGATTGATCGAATCTGGACCAATAGTGGATGAACAGCCAAACTACTTACATGTTACAGAGAGTTTAGGCAGGTAAGTTGAGTTTACTATCGTCTGTACAGTATATAAATTAGGTACTGTAAGTCTAATACAGTACTGTAATTTTACACATTTCTTATTCAACGGCAATAAAAATTATTTCTATTAATGATATCTCCAAAGTCCAATGAACTTTTTGCAGAAAAATAACTTATCAGAAAACATGCCCGCTGTTTGGTGAGCTGCTCCGTGACGAAAACGAACTTAAGAAATGGCATCGTCAAACGGTGCACACTTGGTAAGTAATCCTACAATTTTTTGTTTATAGCATAGTTTATATGGATTATTCCCAAAAAATTATGTGTGTTTTGGAAATGTTGAGTCAAATTAATCTAGAATCGATTAATTTTATGGAAGAAAACCTTTCAAGCAGCCATAGTCCATAAACTGCACGCATGCCGGGCTATGATTGGCTCATGTATTTAAGGATTCCTACAATGTGAAATTCTTATAAAGTGGAACGTATCTACCGCGTTATAGGGGGGGTCGACTGCATAATGAAAGAATATTTGATACCACCAAACTTCATATGCAATTTTTCAGCATTTGGTTTCAAGTAATCATTATATTTAAATTAGAATTTTAAGCAAATTTAACAATTTTTTACTGTCTTTCAAGACTGATATAAAATTCTGATAACTAAAAATGAAACAATTAAAATGATACAGAACCTTAGTTTTGAACTGAAGAGGGACTTAAAATACATATAAGTCCAAAATGCATATGTCAAAACAATAAAAGAAGTATCTAACCTGAAAGCTGTATTGATAGTCTACCGAACTGAATTGATCGGATTAAAGAGACACATTCACAACGAAATAGCAGCTACCATAAGTGATATTTTAAAATGATACATACAGTATCTTATAAATTCTAATCAATTTGTGGACAATAAATAAATATATTATCACATAATATCTATCTTCTTGTAAAACATATTGCATAACAATATTTCCTAATTTAGAAACAATTATAAATAGAAAAGTTCATATTCTACAGATCCCTGTTAAGTCTGTATAAAATTAAAACTCACATGTAGATAGTTTATATCTTTAATTATCTATGTGATTAATTTATATTGTGAGAGTCTGGACTTGATAAATTTTTGAACAAAGCTTTTGTCAAAATGTATTAAAACTTGCTATAATTTTTCAAACACTTATTAATTATAAAATATAAGATTATATCTCTAAATGGAGTCACTTCCCTTTCCAGATAACACATTAAATGTGTCACCTGGAACCTATGATCAAAATTCAACCATTAACCCCAACTTATAACAATTCCTAATAAGGGCATGAAAAGAAACTGGTAGGATCCCCTAATTAAAAGAAGGGAGCTCAATGATGACGACTGGCGATTGTCATTGATAGGTCATCACCTTTGTTCTCTTCTTTGGACTAGTGTTCTCGCCCAATCTTTTTGGATACCGCCGTCGCCCACCATCTGCTTATCTCAAGACATCAAGAAACTTTCACAATATTTTGACTTGTCAAAGATTCTAACAAACCAGCTGGTGAATCAGAAGTTCATTGATTTGCCAATCCTCCGATTTCCAAAGGAACCAACCTCTTTACCACCTAACTAAAGGAACCAATGGAACCCACTTAACTAAAGTATTTATCAACTTGTGGACTATTGTGAACTCTCTCTCTCGGTCAAGGACCTGCGATATTAATGATAAATCCTTATAAAATTAGCATTCAGCTAAGCTCCTTATATAAGTTATGTACAGAAATGTAAACTGCTATGTAAATAAATGGAAATTGTTAAATGTTAAATTCATAGTTGAGTGCACTTCTTCCACTGGCTGTCTCTCAAACCTTCTCAGAGTCCTGAGTCCAAGTGCCTACACACGACTGCTTGCATGCAAAAACAAACTTAACAGCCATCAAGGTTTCTGTATCTGTCCATAAGACATGATGATGTAGATGTCAATCCTGACAACTAAATCATCGCAAATGCTGTGGCGACCCTTCGACCCCATGGTAAGGAAACACAGGAGTGCTTTGCACATTGTCATAATATATTAATTTTGCCTATACTGATGTTAAAAACTTACTGGTAACATTAAGTAGGTAAGTAAATAAGACTAAAACACCAAGATTTTCACTAACTGTAGACTGATATTAAAAGAATATTAGAACAATTAAAAATGTATTAATTATTATTATTAATGGTCATTGCATGGCATGACAAACTATATTTCAAGACTGATTTGAATCTTATCAGAGAAACAAACATCATGTTATAAGGTTACACAGATTCCTAACATGAAAAGAATGTCAGTCACAAATATGCTAATTATGATCACCCAGTACATACAGAACAAAAAAATCTCAAAATTTTATCATTTCCTAAAATTTATGACTAGGTTTGGCGCTTAAATAATTTACTTTTTACAAACTAAATAAATATTCAAATTAAGATTAAATTTTTACCTCCTCAATAACAACTTTGGATGACTCTTTCCTTCAATACATTTTTCTATTAATTCAGCCAGCAATGTCTTCAAAATACTTGAAAGAAATAATTAATAATTATAAACAAATAATTGATAATACTGAAACATAACAACTAAGTAATGCATGATTATGTAATTTATTAATCAAAATCAAGTGTATGTACTAAATCAATAATTAAAAACTATGATGACAGAATTTCATTGTCGATGTTTAATGGCAATAAAATTCTGTTTTACCATTCATCATCATAAAGCTCATCATCAATATCTTAAAATTTTAAATTATTATAATATGAGAAAAATTAATTATAAAATTATTGAGACAATACTTATTTTATTATAAATTTTAAATAATTATCCAAAAACATTTCTACAGCAATTTTTTGCACAATAAAGACCTAAATTTGTAAGGAAATTATCATTGTATTTTTATTCAAAATATAACCGTAATACACTATTTCAATTATATAAAGACAGTCACAAATATCAACATAAATCAAAGTAGTCTGAAATTAATCTCAAGTCATCTATCTAAATGATAAAGTTGTCACTATATATACAGTCGACCCCCTATAACGCGGGTTCATATATCGCGGTGAAAAAATTGTGACCGTATTCATATAAAGACACTAAAAGAGACTCGTAAAATGTGGTAAAACGTCATCGCCGACTCATGTCGCGACAGGATTGATCGAATCTGGACCAATAGTGGATGAACAGCCAAACTACTTACATGTTACAGAGAGTTTAGGCAGGTAAGTTGAGTTTACTATCGTCTGTACAGTATATAAATTAGGTACTGTAAGTCTAATACAGTACTGTAATTTTACACATTTCTTATTCAACGGCAATAAAAATTATTTCTATTAATGATATCTCCAAAGTCCAATGAACTTTTTGCAGAAAAATAACTTATCAGAAAACATGCCCGCTGTTTGGTGAGCTGCTCCGTGACGAAAACGAACTTAAGAAATGGCATCGTCAAACGGTGCACACTTGGTAAGTAATCCTACAATTTTTTGTTTATAGCATAGTTTATATGGATTATTCCCAAAAAATTATGTGTGTTTTGGAAATGTTGAGTCAAATTAATCTAGAATCGATTAATTTTATGGAAGAAAACCTTTCAAGCAGCCATAGTCCATAAACTGCACGCATGCCGGGCTATGATTGGCTCATGTATTTAAGGATTCCTACAATGTGAAATTCTTATAAAGTGGAACGTATCTACCGCGTTATAGGGGGGGTCGACTGCATAATGAAAGAATATTTGATACCACCAAACTTCATATGCAATTTTTCAGCATTTGGTTTTAAGTAATCATTATATTTAAATTAGAATTTTAAGCAAATTTAACAATTTTTTACTGTCTTTCAAGACTGATATAAAATTCTGATAACTAAAAATGAAACAATTAAAATGATACAGAACCTTAGTTTTGAACTGAAGAGGGACTTAAAATACATATAAGTCCAAAATGCATATGTCAAAACAATAAAAGAAGTATCTAACCTGAAAGCTGTATTGATAGTCTACCGAACTGAATTGATCGGATTAAAGAGACACGTTCACAACGAAATAGCAGCTACCATAAGTGATATTTTAAAATGATACATACAGTATCTTATAAATTCTAATCAATTTGTGGACAATAAATAAATATATTATCACATAATATCTATCTTCTTGTAAAACATATTGCATAACAATATTTCCTAATTTAGAAACAATTATAAATAGAAAAGTTCATATTCTACAGATCCCTGTTAAGTCTGTATAAAATTAAAACTCACATGTAGATAGTTTATATCTTTAATTATCTATGTGATTAATTTATATTGTGAGAGTCTGGACTTGATAAATTTTTGAACAAAGCTTTTGTCAAAATGTATTAAAACTTGCTATAATTTTTCAAACACTTATTAATTATAAAATATAAGATTATATCTCTAAATGGAGTCACTTCCCTTTCCAGATAACACATTAAATGTGTCACCTGGAACCTATGATCAAAATTCAACCATTAACCCCAACTTATAACAATTCCTAATAAGGGCATGAAAAGAAACTGGTAGGATCCCCTAATTAAAAGAAGGGAGCTCAATGATGACGACTGGCAATTGTCATTGATAGGTCATCACCTTTGTTCTCTTCTTTGGACTAGTGTTCTCGCCCAATCTTTTTGGATACCGCCGTCGCCCACCATCTGCTTATCTCAAGACATCAAGAAACTTTCACAATATTTTGACTTGTCAAAGATTCTAACAAACCAGCTGGTGAATCAGAAGTTCATTGATTTGCCAATCCTCCGATTTCCAAAGGAACCAACCTCTTTACCACCTAACTAAAGGAACCAATGGAACCCACTTAACTAAAGTATTTATCAACTTGTGGACTATTGTGAACTCTCTCTCTCGGTCAAGGACCTGCGATATTAATGATAAATCCTTATAAAATTAGCATTCAGCTAAGCTCCTTATATAAGTTATGTACAGAAATGTAAACTGCTATGTAAATAAATGGAAATTGTTAAATGTTAAATTCATAGTTGAGTGCACTTCTTCCACTGGCTGTCTCTCAAACCTTCTCAGAGTCCTGAGTCCAAGTGCCTACACACGACTGCTTGCATGCAAAAACAAACTTAACAGCCATCAAGGTTTCTGTATCTGTCCATAAGACATGATGATGTAGATGTCAATCCTGACAACTAAATCATCGCAAATGCTGTGGCGACCCTTCGACCCCATGGTAAGGAAACACAGGAGTGCTTTGCACATTGTCATAATATATTAATTTTGCCTATACTGATGTTAAAAACTTACTGGTAACATTAAGTAGGTAAGTAAATAAGACTAAAACACCAAGATTTTCACTAACTGTAGACTGATATTAAAAGAATATTAGAACAATTAAAAATGTATTAATTATTATTATTAATTAATATTCATTCAGTTTGTCTGCTATTTTTTGTGCCATTGTCTTTAACAATGGCTAGTATATATCTGAAGTANATAACATTTTATTTTAACTTTTTTTAATAAGAAATAACTTAGATTAAAATTTTTTTTCTCAGGATTTTATGTTTTTTGAAAAAAGTGGAAATCGAGAACGTGACAGGCCAGGCATGTTTTAAGACTTCAATCTACTTTTATTGCATGTTTTATAAAGATAAGAAGAAATGGAATGGTTGAATTAAACTTGTTATACAATGCTAATCAAATTTCAAATATTGCACTACTTAGATAATGAAAATGTGTGTTAATTTTTCTTGAAAAACTTTTACAAAATAAATTAATTTTATAATTATCCTATTTAATTATATTTATGATAAAATTTATCATAATTATAATTATGATAAAATTTTTAAATTGTGAATGTTCAAAACGTTTAAAAATCAACTGTAAATTTTTTGCATCTTAAAATTTACTGTTCAAAATTATTTTATTAAATAATTTTTTCTACAAAAGTAACTCCAAATATTAATTTCGAAAAATAAATTACTATTTATAGGAACTACATTGTAGAAAGTTTCAAAGCCAAACAAAGTGGCTTAGAAAATAAACTGTTATGAAATTTGAATATTAGAATTTATTTGACCTGAAATAGATCAAAAATTTATGTGTAATAATTTTAAATTAAAAAGGTTGTTCTTTTTTCACATCTTATTTTTGTATTATAACTGAACTAATATAGTAATGTTGTTGTCTAAAAAGTTGCAAATATAAAATTGTTAACTGTGCAAAGCCAAACTTTAACTTTCCTGCCATACAATCTATGAAAATTGTGTAAAACACAAACAAACACACATACATACACACAACTTTATATATATATACACAGTGGAGTATCGATTATCCGAATATCGATCAACTAAAACATTGGTTAACCGAAAGCGTTCCAGTCGGCAAATTTAAATTTCCACTAGTTCTGTGGCGCTGCAATATTTGGCTCTGTCTTGGGCTACTCCAATATTATTTTTGTTGGTCTGTATGTTTTAGCTGGCAGCACTGGCGCGACCATGAGAGGGTACTTAAGGACATGCCAGGATTTGAACGTGGATAGGTTAATATATTTTTTTCTAGCACTATATTATTACTCAGGTATAAAAATTGAAGGCTATGAGAGTATATTTAAATATACAGTAGAACATTGATTATCTGAATAGCGATCAACCAAAACATCGGTTAACTGAAAGTGTTCCAGTTGGCAAATTTAAATTTCCGATAGTGCTGTGGTGCTGCAATATTTAGCTATGTCTTGGGCTACTCCAATATTATTTTTGTTGGTGTGTATGTTTTAGCTGGCAGCACTGGTACAACCATGAGAGGATACTTAAGGATGTGCCAGGATTTGAACAAATTTCAACATGGGATAGGTTAATATATTTTTTCGTACATAATCAGTTATCTGAAAAAGTGATTATCCAAACAACCCCAGTCCCAAATTGTTTCAGATAATTGATACTCTACTCACTCTATATATATACATACATACACAGTAGAGANTAATTTCGTAATAATTGTTTTCATATTATAATTGATAGGTGTAAATTATCGGAATTGACTGAAGTAATTGCTATTTTACTATTAGTACATTATTAATTATTAAAGCCCAGGTAAAATAATCTTGTTATTTTTCATATGTCTATGAATATTTATCTGATATTATTTTCTGATATTATTTGAAACTGATGTAAATCATTTATATTAAAATTTTTGAAAAAATAAAAGTATCCCTAAGCAAGGTATTCTTTATATTCATTCTTTTTCCTTCATTCACATTTTGATAAAAACAAAATTAAAAAATTATCATTATTTTTCATCACTTATAACAGACTTTCCACATAAAAGAAATTTAACCCCTCAGTCTCTATTGACGTATATATACGTCAAGCCTACATAGCGTTACGAAAAATGTGGTCCTTAAGGCCATTTTTGAAAAAATTTTTTTTTATTGAATTTTTGGAATGTTTTTTAGGTCCCGAAATGTTTTCAAAATTTTTTTCCCGCGCAAAAAAATTTTATCGCGATTTTAATGAGCCTATGTGAAGGCTCGATTAAGGCTTAATTGTTTTTTAATGGGAGTTTTTTATCAATTTTATTTCATGGTTCCTAAGTTGTAGCGCATGGATTTTCATTCGGTAAAGTTATTTAATAAATGGTAGTAAAATGTTTTTAGGCTTTTACACTGACAAGTATAAAAAAAGGCTATGATTTGTTTTAAGGCAATCTTTACTTATAGAAGTGGTCTGGAACCTAACCAACCTACTATATTAGCAAGATATGCCTATATAAAGATAAATAATGCAACCATATTATTATATATAACTTAAACAAAAATGAAAACCTTATCATTACTGAATATCTATATTTTTTTATATCAATGCAATGAACTTACCTGTCTCTCATAGAAAAATATCGATTGGATTCTAATGTTCTTATAAATAGCAAAAGAAAAGTCTTATTCATGATCAACTGGCCAAAAACTCTAAGTCCTTTCTCAATATAAGGTTTTTTTAATGGATCCAACTAAAACAAAAATTCAAATTAAAATTTATTATAAGAGTTCATTACTATTTTAATTAATATACAAAAGATATTTAAGTTATTATAATAGATTTCGTATTATAATTTATTATAATATTAAATATTATTATAATACATATTTAATTATAATAGATTTTATATTATAATTTCATTTCAAAAATTTCTTGAAACTACAAACATTAATAAATTTTGATAAATCTCATAGTGTTAAAATCTAATGAATATATTTAACTAAAAGTTGAACAAAGTATTGAGAAAATAACAGTTTTCATAACATGGAAAAAAAGTAAATATATATCATGTTTTTAGATCTTTGGTTATTCATTCATTGTAAGATATAACATCAACAAATGCTAATATATGAATAAGTTAATTATTATTAATCCTTTTTATTATTATAACTTACCAACCAATACAATAGTTAATGTAATCAAACTGCAATATTTTACTCAAGATGAATTTTATTATGATTCTTACCTGCATTTCTTTCAAAACAGGATGATTATCAAAATTAGGAAATAACACTTTCATTGCATAAGTTCGATAATCAAGAAATGGAATTCCACCAGATGTTAAGTCACTTGTCAAATCTGTCATTTCTGTTTGTAGCTCAGCAAATGCTGGAAAATAAATATTTAATATATATAAAATGGGAGTTCATCCTTAAATGTACAGTCAACCGTGTGCTGGGCTGTGAATGGCTCACATATTTGTAAAATTTAAGTGACTCATACAATATGGAATTCATATAAAATGGAATTATCAACAGTGTTATAGGGGGCCTGTAGTTTATTAAAAAAACTTTTGTAAAATTATTTTTTAAACCTACCTTCTTTACATTCACTAGCAACTCTTAATTCTAAAACATCCATTTGTTCTTGCATGTTTTTCAAAACACGGCTGCTTTCTGTTGATTTTCTACGATATGCAATCAATATTAAGATGACTATTAACAGTAAAATGCATCCTCCAGCAATTACACCAATAATAACAGGTTTAGAAAGAGTGCTATCTTGACCAGCAGGAATTTCATAACTCAACTGACCAATGGTAAATTTGAGTTTACTTCCAACTTCAACCTATTAAATTAAATTTTCGTTAAATTCAAAATTTTTCATATAATTCTAAATAACTTGCTACTCATTTACTTTTTATTAGAATGTTCATACATATAATTTAAAGTAATCAAATAAACTTTACACTAATATAATTAATTTTTTGTATTCATCTTATCTCAAATTTTTCAGTTAAAATTTTTATAATCTATAATAAAGTAAATACTTGTGTGACCATATTGTCAGTTTTTAGAAGTCAATATTTAACTTTAATGAATGATTATTTGAACGTTTTCAGGAATTTTCCAGCTTCAGCTTTAAGTGTTTTACAATACTTAAAAACAAAAAATATTTTATAATTATTTTATCACTATAAATATTGTATATATTAATTTTGAAATGGAACTGAAGAATACTAAACAAGAAATTTTCTGAGAACACAAAGTGATAATGAAGTAGAAATATATTGTAAATGTGTATTATAAATTAAAATCTATTGCAATAAAATTTATGTATCTAGAATCTAACATAGTCTTTGAATCTTATATTTTTGGTTTCCTTAAATACAATATATAAACAGCATTATAATATTAATTATCATTCTATCAATAAGAAATAATACAAATTAATATAAAGTTATTACTATAACATAAGGTATCTTCTTATTATCAGGACTGCCATTTAAACCTCTTGCTGGAGGCTGTGAAGTTGGTGGTCGACACGTCAACTGAGAACGTGATAATGATGTAACATTACAAAATTCAGTTCCAATACGCACAATAACATCAATTTCCTGAGAAGCACGATCCAAATTTTTACCCTGAAATATTTCAATTAAAGTTTTTAATACTAATAAGTTGTTTGTTTCATATAATAAGAAATTACTTACATTAATTGTCAAATAATCACTTTTGTAATATTTTATATGATCTTTTTCACTAAATGGTTCATATTTAGGATCAGGATACATTTGAAATTTAGGAAATTCAGGTTTACTACTTATGTTTCTAACTTGTTCCACATTATCCATTTCAAATCCATAATCAAGTTCCAAAATTTCATCTTCCTTAACAGCATAAGGTATTGGAGGACTTTCACATTTCATTTCCTTTGGAGATTCAACTTTACAATTCTATAAGAAGATATATTAAATTGAAAACTATAATTTACTATTTGAGCATTTAACTTTTATCATAATTAGTTTAATTAATTTTTAATTTCCTTTTATACCTGAATTGGAAATCTCCTGTTAATATACTATAGCCTAATGAAAGTTTTGAGAGAAGTATATACTTTATAAATATAAACATTTTGTAAATACATCAAACTCCCCATGCATATCTATGCTAATTAATGCATGAGTATACATGAAAAACTGAAAAACACTGATATCTAAATAGCCCTCTAAACTGTAAAGACTATTCTGAGGTTTTAAATGAACTACAGTAATTACCACTCAACCGCATTATAACAACCATGCAAATATGAGTCCCATGTTCTATAAGCTGAAATGTATAACTAGTCAATAAACATAAAAATAGATTTCTTATATTTTCAAAAATATCATGTAAAATTTAAATTTTTTCCAAATTACTGCATTTTAATTTTAGGATATTTTTTCAAAACTTATTTATAGTACCAATTTTTCCTACTGCAAAATAATATTCTAGAATCACCTCACTTATGTCCCTTAGAATAGACAATTGAGGGAAAAAAGAAAAGTGTCATTTTACAGTAATTCTAATATTTTGATGATACACAGATAATCTGAGCACAATAATAGGGAGTTTTAGTATATTCATTTAAATGCTAACATTTGAAGTAACTTCATGAAAACCTTGATATTTGTAATTTTTTTATATTTTGTATTTTGTAATTTTAAAGAATCGTATTTTATTATTCAAAATATTAGAAAAAACAATGTCTTATGTCAAAAAATAAATTTTATTATATTAAACAAAATAAACATTACTAATTTTAATTAAAATTTTTCAACTATTTTGTAAAAATTTAATAGAATGTAAAAAAAATCTATGCAATAATTTTAATAACACACTGGTATCTCATATTTTGAATGACTAACATCAAATATTCCAGAGTTCAAATAATAAATTTGAGAAAAGAAATTTGACCTGAAGTTGGAACAATGCTTCTACATTCAAGCTGCATATGCAGTGATAAAATGTGCTCACTGCTTAAACACCATCTGTTGTGCACCCAAGTCATCTTTTGCTCTAGTCATGAAACTATCTCTTGCACTATGCCTGTGTTTTCAGTGCTTTTTTCACTTTATTTTTGGTGTATATAGTTTTATATATATAACTATACACACTAATATATATATATATAACCCCTACCTATTAACCATGGCATCCAAGAAGTGTGTGGAAGCAATGAAGCCTAAGAGGAAGGCTGTAGTATCAATAATTGGGATTAAAAAAAAACTTATCACAAAGCATTAAAGTGGTACATATACACATGTGAGTACATGTACCACTTTAATGCTTTGCAATAAGTTCTTTTTTTAAGATACCAAAGTCAACAGTGTGTACCATTCTTAAGAACAAGGAAGTAATAAAAGCAGCAAATGTGAAATGTAAAGATGTGACAATGTTGAAATCACATGTTATTGAGATGGAAAAACCCTCCTAGTACGGCTAAATGAGAAGGCTGGTGATGTCTCCAAATGAATTACTTGTAAGAAAGCCAAGCAGCTGCATAGTAACCTTAAGAAATATGAAATCATTCCTCACTAAAGTACAATAAATGCAATTTTCTGTTATTATACAGTACTTAAGTATTTTATTTATTGTTTTCATGTTTTAAATTTATTATTTAGGGCATTTAATTGCCTTTTTACCTTAAATTATGTTTATCTGCTATTTAGGTTTATTGGACTGGGTATTGTTTAGGTTTGGGAAAGGATTAACTAACTTTCCATTATTTCTAATGGGAAAAACTGATTTTGACTTCAAACAGCTTCCTGAAACAAATTAAATTTAAAGTACAAGGCACCACTGTATATGAAAATATAATAATAAAATCTAAAAATAAATAAATTTTCCTTATATTATTAGTACTTTTGTTTTGGATAAGTCACAAGAAAACAAAACTTAACTTTATCTTAAGAATAACAAACACAAAAAGCAAATTTTCATTGATTTAAGACAACACAATACTACGATTCTATCATTATGAAAATTTATGTTATTCATTATCAAAATAAAATAAAAACTTACACTTTCACTTCTATATTCTTCACCTTCATACATTACATACATCTTAGGTGCAACAACTGCATTTAAATTTGTTCCTTTGACTGTTATCATTATCCCACATCTCA